AAAATACTCAACACAATGTCTACACCTTGCCTTGGCCCCCCTCTTGTCGTTTAAGTCGAACCTTACCTCTTTAATAGAACCAAATTCCAATCCCAACTTCCATTTAAAGTCTTTGTTTAGCAAATCCATATTAAACCTCTCATATTTCCTACGTAGGCCATCTTCCTTAGAGTTATCACTTTTTAGAGTCTCACTAGCATACCTATGCTCAATATCTTCTTATACTCTTTGTGAATTATAAAATTCACTAGCATTTACAAAACCTTTGTTAAAGAGTTCGAAATTCTCTCTATTTTTATTCGGATCCTTTTTTTCTACAACCTTTTCCTTTCTTTCTTTTTCTTTCAGCAACAACATTGCACTAGTAGCATCCCCAACACCAGCATCATTTCCAACATTTCCAGCAACACCAGTATCATCATTGCCAGTAGCATCAACATCATCATTCCCAACAACACCAACATTCTGAACACCAGTAGGTCTTTTATGTGCTTCGCTTTGCAGAGCACTTGGTAAGTCACGTTCAGGTGGACATTCCAACATCCTCTTCATCCTTAGAAACCTAAACTATTTCAATTCTTACAGCTTCTAAGTCAGGGTTGCGAACACTATGAGCAACATTTTGCTGCTCCTCCTCAGGATCATCATTTTATTTCCTTGCAACTATCTTTTTTTTGAGTAATTTTGACTCGACCAAATTCAAAAACTTCTTTATCAAATTCATAATCCAATCCAACAACCCTCTCCCCCTTTGAATCATCCAATTGAACATCCCTCACAAAGTCATCATCACTATTAGAGAAATTGTCCCCAACAACACCTTCGTTGCCAACATGAGAAACTAGAAACATTTTCACTTCCACATTGTTAGTAATTACAAAGTTTGCCATGTCTAATGCAACACTATCACAATTTATCTCTTTAAAATCAGAAGCACCAAATTTCCACCACAACCTAACATAATTCTTTCCATATGCCAAGTCTTCTTTTACATTCCCAAGGCTTCAAAATAGGACCACCTATCCATATCCACATTGTTCACACGCATTGGCTCGCCGCCCCCAACATAATGCATCATGGGGGCTAACTCAAAACGACCCCCGTGATGAAGTATCAGATTGAATCCCATCAACACAACTACAAAGGAACCAAATCTTTGTGTCCAAACAAAAAGATCATCAAAAGAATAGTTAAAGCCTATCAAATTATAAACCCTAATAACCTGAGCAACCACTTACCTTCAACACAAACGGAGAATGGCAAGAGCTTCGTCGAGAACAACTTTGGCAGTGCTTCAACAACGACAACAACTTCGTCTATTTATGTCTACAAAATCTCACCACTTTAATAGTTTTCCTCCACGAATGGTCAATGAAGAATGGTTCTTCAAACGCAAGGACCAGAGAACAACGTAGAATGTGCATTTCCAAAATGAAGAACAACGAAAACATAGATGAATGACGAAAACGGAGAATGAGAATGAAAACTATGCGGAAATACAACTTCAAGCTTTTGAAGAACAAAAAGGAACAATTTTGTAGCTTACGAAATTAAATGTTCAAGTTGAAGATGAATAAGAGAGAATTTTTTGAGTTCGCCAAGTTCCAACATTAAATGGTTTCCCTTAACCACGAAATGAATTTTTTTTTATAAATTAAAATATGATGTGACCAATTACATGGAAAGTGAAGTGAACATTTAGATGATATGACCGACACTGTTGGGTGCTGATGTGGTAGTTCGTCAGGTACTAAATTAAAAAAGAATTAGTCAAGTATTTTAAAAAAAATTAATAGGTAGTGATTTGAAAACGATCTAATTGGAGGTAGTTTGAACATATTTAAGTCATAATAATAATAATAGGGTGAATATAATAATAATAAAAATAATAATAATAAGAATTAATAAATAAATAAATAATAATAATACTTATTATAATATATATATATATATATATATATATATAAATATTCATGATTATATATTTTCCAAATAATTCAACAATAATAATTCAACAATAATATATATATATATATTTGTTCAAAAACAAAAATTAAGTTCTCTTCACCCGCCAAAATGATGTATGGCCAACTCCATCCATGGTTCCAAACTTCTCCATAATCAATCTATACTCATATTTTGAAGGAAGGTCCATATTCAGTTTACTTGATTTTATTTAGCCCCTCGTTGTTCAAGATTCGATTGGTCCCTCTATTGGGCTCCCAAAATCATTAAACCTAAGTGCCTTTAAATTGCAATATAGGTGCAGAATTCTCATTATTTTGGTGATAGCCCACAAGAGTTTCTGGAAATTGTTAACCTTCAGATTACAATGTTAGTTGTTACTACAATAAATGTTACATATAGTAACATACAAAAAGTGTCACTATAAGTATAATATATGTATGTATATATCTATTTGGCATATAGCTACATACAATTTTAATGTTGATTTTGAATGAGATTTAACAACATATTTTGTGTGTCACTATAACTTATACCTACACTTTTTAACAATATACCATATATTATATTTATTGTGTAGGTAAAAATAATTTTTAGTGACACTTATTGTGTCACTATAGAATGTGTGTCACTATACGACAATTTCCTTGTAATGTTAGCTGCTTCACAACCCATCATTTTGCTCTATTATTCCATTTATTACGAATGTTTCTTCGTAGCTGGATGCTTGGATCTCCGGATGTTGCTAATACATATCAGTTTGACACAAATGATAATGATTTAAATATTTTAACAAGTTGTTTAATATTCAAATTTCGACTTTATATTGAATAGATTATGTTAATAGGAAAATATGTATTTTGTGTGCATGGTAAAGGTGACTGATAGGTTCCTGAATTTTTTTTGAGGCATTTATGTTCTTAAATTTTAACTTTATTATGCATATTAATCTTTCCATTATACTTAGTTAATAACTTCGTTAATTTATTGAATAATCAACGGTTAAGTGTCAAGTTTTGGTACTTTCTAATTGATAATGAACACTTTGTCATATTTAAATATTCTAGTCATGAAGATGTTCCGATTAAAAGGAAAGTTATTGGATTTCGTAAGGTTTCTTATAGTTGGATTAATTTTCTGTCTTCCATTATTAATTTCTTCGCCTATTCTAACTATACTTTTAGGATTATAAAACCAAAATTATTGAATTTAAAGTTTAGTAAAATACTTTTATCATGATAACTTCATGATAACTTCAAGTTAGGATGAATGAAATTAAGAAACATCAATTATTTTACGTTCTTCAATATTAATCATCATAATCATAGAAAAAAATTTAATATAATATTTAACCTTAGTGTAGGAGTTTTATATAATATATTAAAATAGACACCAGAACCATTTGTTCTACGTTATCATTGAAAATTCTAAAATATCAACAAATTTTAAAAATAGGTTAGATGTTCAAACAACTTTTTTTATTTGATTATTTCCTATTAATTAATATTCATAGCATAGATTAGTCCGAAATAAAAAAAACTACATTAATGAGGGGCTTAACAAATTATAATTTCTTATTTTTATATCATAACCTTTTCTTTTTATCAATAATTTCTCTCAACCCACTAACCAGTGATTACTTTTGTTTGTGGTAATATGATTATTGTTCTTTCAAATGTTATTTTTATACATGGCAAGATAATTTTTTTTTCTATTAAATAGATAGTTTCATATAATGTGTGAACATAGAATGTTTAACTATTAAGTTAACCATCATCAGATTATCATATCATAACTTTAACTATGGTTCAATTATTAAAAATATTCACATTTCTAGAATATTTCAACTTCAAATCTAAAAATGGATTATAGGTGTTTGAACTTTTTTTTTTCAATGTAATTATTTCTCTTTACCATTAGTAAATCTACATTAATGAGGGCTCAACATTAATGAAAACATCTACTTTTCTACCACGTATTCAACATTTATTACCATAGTATAAGTTTGAATATAAATAATTTCTAACTTCAGTATAAACTTTATATACTATCAAGACTTGGAATCCAAAACCACTTGTTTTTTTTTTATTTTTTATTTTTTATTATTTTATTATATATATATATATATATATTTAATGAAAATTTCATAATATCTTTAACGTTAAATCTAAAAATAAGTTAGATGTTTAAACAATTTCTTTGTTGGTGAAACTATCTCCTATTAAATGCTATTCATAACATAATCTACATTAATATGGGCTTGACAAATTGGAGTTTGTTGTTGTCATCGTAACGTTAGGTATTCTTACAAAATTAAAAAGTCTCGTTTTTTTAGCATGGTATAAAAGAGTATTGGAGTCATGAAAAAAAAAACAACTTTGATAACAATGACAACAATATTTTAGAGAATAGGTTGGTGCTATCACAAGATGCAGGTAAATAATAAGGGAGCGTAATCGAAACATGATAATAATTTATTTATTTTTTTTTATTTCTAAAATCTAATAAATAAATATACAACAGTTTATATATATGATCGTTGTTAATAAAATTAAAGGCAACAACACACAAAACCTTTGGCCATTAATTTTTAGAGCGTTTTCTTTAATTGGTGTTTTTAAAAAGATATAACTTTATTGGTTAAAACAAGAGAAAGTTATCTTTTTTATGATTTAAGAGTTTTCTTTTGTATTACAAAGATAAGCGTTGATATAGGCTAAACATGTTGAAATGATGATTCCATGGTAATTAAAAACATTTAGTTTTCTACAATGTCTTTAACATTCATCATATATATTTATATATGAACACTTTTGTCAATGAACAAAATTCTTATAGGCTTTCACTTCTTCATATCTAAAATAAAGCTTCTTTAATTGTAGTAAATAATGGAGATTAGCATCACATCAAGAGAAACCATTAAACCATCATTGCCCACTTCTGTAAATTGCAAAACCCACAAATTATGTTTGTTTGATGTGTTTCAACTCAACACCTATTTTCCACTAATCCTTTTTTACCATAAAACGAGTGACATGAAAGGATTTTCATGTGTTTCAAATCAATTGAAGAAATCGTTATCTGAGACACTAACTATCTTCTACCCCCTTGGAGGTAGAAGAGGTGATTACTTTTCCATTGATTGCAATGATGAAGGTGCAATTTACATGGAAGCCTCAGTGAATATTAGCATGGGAGAGTTCTTAAATCCACCCAAATTAGAATTTCTTAATCAACTACTTCCATGTGAGCCTAACAAGTGTCACTCCTACCAAGAAGTCTTGCCCCAACTACTAGTCCAAGTGAACCTTTTCCAATGTGGAGGAATAGCTATTGGCTTATGCAACCTTCACATCCTCTTGGATGCATATTCTTGCAGTGCCTTCTTGAAAACTTGGTTTGCCATTTGCAAAGGGTCAAAGGAAGAAATATCATGGCCAGATTTCTTTTCTGCTTCTTCTTTCTTTCCTCCAAGAAACACCTTTGGTGTACGTGCTGGCATGTTAAATATTAACAAAGACTCGAATGTAGAAGCAAAGTGCACTACAAGAAGATTCATGTTTGATTCCAAAATCATCAATGAGCTAAAAGCCATGTCGACCAGTGATGACACAGAACCTACACGATACCAAATAGTGTCTTCATTCATATGTAAACATATGATTGTAGCATGCATGAATGGATCTTGTGATCAAACAAGGCCAGTGGTTGCATTGCATGTTGTGGACATGAGAAAAAGGATGGGAGAGCCTTTCTCAAAAGGTTCTATTGGAAATTTATTGTGGCCTGCATTGGTTCTTTTGGAAGATGTCAACAAGAACACTAATATTATAGATTTAGTTAGAGTTTTGGAAAAAGAATTAGGAAAGCTCACTAAGGAGTTGTTTCTAAAAGTGCAAAATGATCCTGATTTTTTATGGAGTGATGAGTGTGCACAATTAATGCTTGAAGGTATAGCAACACAAAACCCAATTACTTTAGTGTTCACAAGTTGGGCCAACATGGGATTCGACAAGGTGGATTTTGGTAGTGGAAAACCGTTGTGGTTGGCTCAAAGAGGAGGTACTAAAGAAACTATACCAAACACAGTAGTATTGATGGAAACAAAAGAGGGAATAGATGCATGGGTGACAATGGCAGAGAAACATATAACTATCTTGGAAAACGATATGGAATTCCTCCGAATCGCGTTGCTTAATCCTATTGTTTCCAATATTTAATAATATAATCAACAACATAGAACAAATGTGGAACCAGTAAAGAAAGTAGTACGTAGTAAGAATACACTTCTTTTGTTTCTCTAATTTTTTCACTATACCAAAATGAAAATATATAAAATGTTTTCCATTTATAATAATAAAAAGAAAGAAGAAAAAGAAATTCTAGTAGTTTATTGATTTGGGCAATCACTACATGTCTGACTTTCCATTTAACCAAGCAAGTAGATATCCTTTTGATGAAATAGAACAATATTGCTTTTATGGAAATGAATGAAAGAGTAAAGGCCTAAAGGTTTCTCACAATAAGTCAAAGGTGGTAAACCAAAGTTTCTTCTCAATAGCACTCACAGGCAATAGGAGTTTAAAAGGTGATATCAAAGTCAGTTTTGTTCTTATTCTTTAATTTTTCTAGGCTATACTTTGGTGTTGAGAATTCGTAGGAGGTTTAATAAGAATACAAATTAACCGACGTGTTCATCATGGAGAAGATAGATAAAAGAAGTAAGATTTAGTATTATAAGATTTGGAGAAGTAAAAAATGTGAATAGATTAGAAAGTCGTCTTCACCAAATTCTAACAAGAGATACCACAAAATATGTTATTAATTTTCTTATGGTTTGACGTTGGATTAGCCTTGACCCAATTACCCTTTAACTACTAAAATTAAACTTAATATGACAGGGTTAAAGCAAATAGTATGATATAACACGGTAACAGATAACTTTGTTGGTATAGAAAATTTGTATACACAATTAGTATGTTATTTGACAACTCTACGTGGTGAAATATATTATATTTTTATTTCACACTTTTGGTCTATTTATGTGTGATTGATTATGGTCTGAATCTTTTGATCCTTAAATTAATCAATTATTTGATTGACTACATTTGATGGTTTGTATTGATTATTTTATTTGTATCATAATTGTCCCTTTCGATTTGAGTTTGTATCGGGCAAAGGTATTAACGTATAAGAAATGAAGTTTTATCACTTCACCCATTTTTCACCTTCAAATTGAACAATGTCAATATTATTGAAAATCTTGTGAATTTTGTACAATTTGGATACAATAATTTCTTTGAATTGTTGCATAAAATTTCATACATATGTTCTTACTTAAAAGACTTTGGACCCACATCGTGAATTGTCTCCTCAAGCTGGATCAAGCTCTAGTGAGGAAGAAGTCTTAAACTCTAGTGAAAAAATATCTCCATGGGAAAGAGACATATTAGTTGCTAGAAGGTTACTTGCTAGCCAACCACATATGGAAGACCATTCTTACAGAGAGAACTTATTTCACTCAAGGTGCAAATTTTTTTAAAACACTCGTTCTCTCATTGTGAATAGTGGATCATGCAACAATTTTTGTAGCTCAAGATTGGTTGACAAGCTCAACTTAACTCCTATTGACCATCCTAAAACTTACAAACTCTAATGGTTAAAAGAGGATGGAAAATTAGAAGTTAAGCAACAAGTATACACACCTTTCTCCACTGGAAAATATAAAGATGAGGTTTTATGTGATATCATACCAATGGAGGCAAGTTATGTTTTACTTGGAAGACCTTGACAATATGATATGCAGGCTTTCCATGATAGCCTAACTAACAAAATAAGTCTCACTCACCTTGGAAGGAAATTTATGTTAACTTATCTTGCACTTTCACAAGTTTTAGAGGATCAACTCAAAATGAAAACAAAAATAGAAGAAGAAAGAATGAGTGAAAAAAAGAGGAAAAAAACCAAAAAAAAAATATCCCTTAAGAATTAATGGGGATGGAGAGGAGGTAATAGAGTTGGAGAAAAGTACATCTCCTCTAAGGAAGTTGTTCCAAAAAGTTTTAAAAAATCTTAAACAATCACTTCTAATAAAATAACCTCTTTATCTTCTACATTAAGGAGACACTTGCTGCCACTAGTCTAGAACTTAACTATCTTCCTAAAGGAGTTCAAAGAATTTTTAAGGAATTTGATGATTTGTTTCCTAAAAAGGTTCCAAGTAGACTTTCACCTTTAAGAGGAATAAAATATCAAATTGACTTGATTCTTGCTGTTGGTCTACCCAATAAGCCTTCTTATAGGACAAATCTCCAAGAAACAAATGAGATAGAGAGTTAAGTTGAAGACTTGTTGAAGAAAGGTTGGGTTCAAAAGAGTCTCATCCCTTGTGGTGTGCTTGTCCTATTAGTGCCAAAAAGGGATGGAAAATAAAGGATGTGTATTATTGATTGTAGAGCCATAAATAACATCACCATTAGATATAGGCACCTAATCCCTAGGTTAGATGATATGCTAGATGAGTTACATGGGGCAATCATCTTTCCCAAAAAGTTGATCTAAAAAGTGGTTATCATCAAATAAGGATTAAATGAGGGGATGAATGGAAAATTACTTTTAAGACCAAGTTTGAATTATATGAATGATTAGTCATGCCTTTTGGCTTAACCAATGCCCCTAACACTTTCAGGAGATTAATGAATCACTTGCTTAGGGATTACATACGAAGGTTTGTTTTGTCTACTTTGATGACATCCTAATTTATAGCAAAAACCTAGGTGAGCATTTAGGTCACCTTAGGAAAGTGTTGATTATTCTAAGGGACAACCACCTCTATGCCAACTTAGAGAAATGTACCTTTTTCCAAGAAAATGTTAACTTTTTAGGCTTATTAGTTGGCAAAGATGGTGTCAAAGTTGACCTTGAGAAAATAAAGGCTATTCAAGAATGGTCCACCTTAAAGAGTGTACGGGACATTAAGAGATTCCATGGACTAGCAAGCTTCTATAGGAGGTTTGTTAAAGATTTATCCATTCTTGCATCTCCTCTTAATGAGTTGGTTAAGAAGGATATCCCTTTTGTTTAGGGTGAGAAATAAAAAAACTTTTCAAAATTTAAAAGACCAACTCACCAATGTAGCCATTTTAGCTCTTCTAAACATTTATCAAGCTTTTGAGCTAGAATGTGATGCATCTAGTATAAGAATATGTGTTGTCTTACTTCAAGGTGGCCACCCCATTGCATACTTTAATGAAAAATAAATGGTCCCACCTACGACAAAAAGCTATATGCTCTTATAAGAGCCCTTTAAACATAAGAGCATTACTTAGTGATTAAGGAGTTCATCATACATACAGATCAAGAGTCACTTAAGTATCTTAAAGGGTAAGGTAAGTTGAATAAAATGGACGCTAAGTGGGTTTAACACCTAAAGCAATTTCTTTATGTTATCAAATACAAAAAAGGTAAAACCAATGTGGTCGCAAATGCACTTTCTAGGAGACATGTTCTATTAATACCCTTAGATCACAAATTTTACGGTTTGGTAACACAAGAGAATTGTATGAAAAAGATCAAGATTTTCAACACACTTATGCATAATGTCTTAAAAGACCTTTAGATGGTTTCTATGTTTATGAGGGGTATCCTTTTAAAATGGGAAAACTGTATATACCCTGAGGATCCATTAGAAAACTTCTAATAAAGGAAAGTTATGAGGGTGGACTCATAGACCATTTTGGTGTTGATAAAACTTTAACCTGTTTAAATGCTAAATTTCATTGGCCCCACATAAGGATAAATGTTCAAAGATTTTGTGCTAATGCTAGATGGATAACTTGTCTTCAAGCTAACTCTAAAGTAATGCCTCATAGACCTTATACACCTTTACCTATAGCTAGCACCTCTTGGGTTGACATTATTATGATTTTGTGCTTGGTCTCCCAAGAACTCAAAGGGATTTTAATTCTATCTTTGTGGTTGAGAAACATTTTAGTAAGATGGCTCATTTTATATCTTACCACAAAGTAGATGATGCTAGCCATATCTCAAGACTCTTCTTTAGAGAAGTTGTCAAGTTGCATGTTTTACCCAAAACCATGGTGTTAGATAGGGATGCTAAGTTCTTAAGTCATTTCTGGATGACATTTTGGGGAAGACTTGGAACTAAACTTGTTTTCTCTACTACTTGCCACCCACATACTGATGGACAAACAAAAGTAGTTAATAGATCCATGTCTACACTATTTTGGGTTTTATTAAAGGGAAACAAGAAATCTTGGGATGATTATCTTCCTCATATAGAGTTTGCATATAATAGGGTAGTTCACAAAACTTTCAATCTTTCTCCTTTTGAGGTTGTTTATGAGTTTAATTCTCTCACACTAGTTGACTTACTTCCATCTCCTGATACCACATCCTTATTTTATAAAGAAGAAGTATCTAGATCTAATTTTGTTAAGAAATACCATGAGAAGGTGAAAGCCCAAATTCAAAATAAACTAAAAATATGCTGAAAACAACAACAAAGGAAGAAAGAAAATGATTTTTGAGGAATAGTATTGGGTTTGGTTATACTAAAGAAAGGATAAATTTGCTTCCCAAAGGGTTTCCAAACTTAATATAAGAGAAGATGGTCCATTCCAAGTCCTCCAAAAGATTAATGATAATGCATATAGATTAGATCTTTTTGCTAAGTATAGTTTTAGTACTACATTTAATGTTTATGATCTTTCTCCTTTTGTAGGGAATGTTGACACTAAGGATGATGATGCAGATTTGAGGATAGATCTTTCTCAAGAAGGAGAGGATAATGGACGACCATCCATGAAGACCATTGGACCTTTGATTAGGTCCATGGTTAAGAGGATTGAGTAAGCCACAAGAAAGGATACATTTCACATGCTTATGCTTTTCATGAGTATTGTGTATTCTTCCTCTCCTAAGACTTGATCTTTCTATTTGTATATATCTTAGTATAGGATTTCTTATATTGTTTAACTAGATATAGAGGTTATTTTAGACTTGTATTTTGGTCTAAATAGTGTAGGATGCACTTAGTTTGTAGGACATGTCCTTATTTTAAGGGCATAGTTCTTTATGTCCTTTCTTTTGTTTTTCTTAGGCCTTGTATTTTGGCTAGATAGAATAGGAAGTTTATTCCATGTATTATTTTCATTTGAGGGTTTAATTATCCATTCTCTTAAATGGATGTCCTATTGGTTTCTTCCCGTGTAAAAGAGGGGTACGACAAGGCGACCCCATATCTCCATTGCTCTTTTGCATCACGGAGGATGCTCTTAGTAGAGCAATAACTTCATTAGTAGTATTTTAGGAGAGTTGTAACTAGTGAAAGTTCATTGTGAGTCTTGTTGGGCTTCCTTATCCCATATTTACTTGGAAGGATGGTGAGGTTTGGTATAGGCTAACTTTGGCTGTCCAAAACACCTTATCCTCCCTTGTAAATCTGGGCCAAGGTGTTCTAGGAAGCAAGCCACATCACATGAATCTTTCATAGTCACACTTTGGACACTTGTGCCACATGGAACTTTCCTAATGGCTCTTCTAGATCAAATGTCTCCACCTTATTATCTTTTTGCGATCATGGGTTATCCACATGGCCTTTTCTGAATGGATAGTTTAAATCTAGAAGTTGGCACTTGGAGGGACCAATTTGGGAACTTGTTCACATTAGTTAGGTTAAGGTTAAGTTGCTTCAGTTCAAACTAACCTAACCTAGTTTAGCTAGCTTGCACCATAAGCTTCTAAACCTCTATATATTTGAATCTCCTTATATTTTTGCACACTTTTGGCTTATGAGATCATATTATAGACAAATTCTCTTTACAAAAGTCTTAGTTCTATAGAAAGAGGAACTTCTCCTTAAGTTATTTCATCAAGGATTCCTCTTTATGCCAAGAACTCTCACTTGCTCACCTTCAAGCTTTGGAGTGGCTCATCCATCTTCTTCTTATTTCCACCTTCTTTGTTTTGAATTAGAGTCTTGAATCCATGGAAAAGATTGGGAGCTTCAACGAATCCTAGAGGAGGAGAAACAACAAGCATCTCCATCACTAGTTTCCATCACCAAAATCACACTTAAACAATTTAGCATAAAACTACTTGTCCTTAAGGGTTTGTAATATTATCCTTAGATGTTCCTCATGTTCCTTCCTTGTTTTAGAATACACCAAGATATCATCTATAAGGACAACTACAAATCTATCTAGGTAAGGCTAAAAGATCTTATTCCTGTAGTCTATGAACACTATAGGTACATTAGTCACACTAAAAGGTATAACTAGGAACTCAAAGTGACCATAGCAAGTCCTAAAGGCAATCTTTGGGATATCCTCAGACTTTACATGAATCTGGTGGTAATTCGATCTAAGATCTATCTTACAAAAGTCTAATGCTACTACCAACTGGTCTATAAGATCATCTATCATAGGTAAAGGGTATTTGTTCTTAATAGTTATCTTATTTAATTAGTTGATTGTAATCTACGTATAGTTTCATGCTCCTATCCTTTTTCTTTACTAGTAGTATAGGTGCTCCCTAAGGTGATACACTAGGCCTCTTAAATTGCTTATCCAAAAACTCTTCTAATTGTTTCTTAAGCTCGACCAGCTCTAAGGAAGATATCTTATAAGGTGTTATGAATATGGATTTGATTCTTGGTATTGTGTTTATAGAGAACTTTAGCTCACGCTCTAGTGGTACATTAGTCATATCTTTAGGAAATACTTCAAAGAATTCACTAACTATAGGTATCTTACTCACGATAGGCTTACATTTTAATTTCAAGGAGGTTAACATCATGTACAATTTGGAATTATCTTTTAAAGATGCCTTAACCTTATTAGCATTCAAGAAGTCCTCACTTTTACCCTCGATAGTTGACAAAAGACAATAGTTTTTTTTAACATATTAATAGGACGTGGTTGGAAGATAACCTGTCCATACCCAAAATATTATATAGTTTACTAACAGATAAACAAATTAAGTCAACTACAAAGTCCCTATCAACAACTTTTAAATGACATTTTATGCATACATCAAAATTAGAAACTAACTCATTAGTTGCCATTTTCACTACAAGTTTAAACTTTAGAGCAACCATGGAAATTTTAACTTAGACACACAAGCATGTGATATGAATGAATGAGTCACAATAGAGTTAAACAAAACAAATTAATGGATTTACACTTGTGAGACATATACCTTGGATGAAGTCCTCATACTATGAAACTTCAACACCACTTAGAGCAAAGAATCTCCCAAAGGCCTTTGTTTGAGTGGCTTGGTAGCCACTCCCACTTGCACTATTACTCTTTTCCCAAGGGTTGGGGAATTCTTTCGCGAGATGCCCCTTCCTTTGGAAATTGTAGCAAGTTAACTTGCTTTCTGTACATTCATATGACTTATGACTTGGACAATTACCTCTGTAGCACTTCAATTAGCCTTTAGGAATAAACCTTACATATCGTCATGCTTAGATTGACTTGCAACTAGTTGTTGACTTCTCACCTGAGAGTACTAGCTCCCCTAAAGAAAGTCAGATTGGCTTGTAGGTCTGAGTACAACTTGCTCCTACCAAATGAACTATATGTCCTTTGTTTCATCATTAACCCCACTGTTTTTGTAGTATGTTGCATGCTCTTTGCCATCTTTGTCATTGATACGACACCTATTCACCAGTAAAAGGAACTGGTAGATCTCTTGGTAATTCACAACTAGCTTTATTTTTAGTTCCAAACCATTAACGAACTCACTTGGATTGCTCACTATCCACACCATTTTAGTGGGGATAGAAGCATAGTAGTTGCTCAAATTTGGTGAGAAGCATACCCTATAGAGACTCACACTAAAGTATGTATGCATGGGCTCTAACAATCACACCACATCATTTCATATATTCAACAACCACGAGCATCATTTACCAGTGTGCAATACTAGACTTATCCATCACGTCTCATCACATTTTCCCTATGACTTATCACATCAGACACTCATATAATTCTTCGTACATAATACTCAGGTTTGCTCGTAACTCACACATGTAAGTATACATAATTTATTAAACTTCTTATTGGTTACTAACTCATTACCTTTATCTTCTTAATTCTAATCTTGAATCCCTCCTTATGGCTCTTCAAATTTTAAATTGTACGTATAACTTAGTTTAGTTGAGAAAATAGCATGACGCTTAGTGAGGTTAAAATCATGGCCAACATAGAGAGGTCAGGGACTTCTCTGCTAGAGTCATACCCAATGCGATGTTACCTAGGCCCAGTTAAAAGGTTTAAGATGTCTTTATCTAAATTTCTCCTGAGATGGATATCCCCACACTTGGCATCGAGAAGTCAGGGACCCCTTTAGAACCAATTCGCTCGACATGGTTTGGGCCATGCTAAGTGTCCTACTCCCTCAATAATCAATGTTAAATGGCACCAACCAAAGTATCTCTTACTTGGCATATGGAAGTTAAAGACCTCTATGGCTTCTCCATGCCTAACATGACCCTATTCACACCCAACACTAAGAACTATACATTCGCGGTCGGTGCCATAATGGTATGCCTGGTGTTGTCACAAATTCTACACTTCTTAGAATTGTGAGTTTGTGCGATTCGTATCCCATTCAAACCCATCTATACACATCCACATATCATTTTATTCAATTATTCAAAGGATTAACATTATACAAAATACAGAACAACCACTACACAACAATACACTTCGATTCATTCATCCAATTCATAAACCCTCAATGTCATCACCCTAACACTCAAGCATTATAAATCATCCTCATACCAATCTAATCAAAGTTTAGGTATAAATTATTAATAAAACACAACACAACATGAACAAATTTCATATAGAGAAATCTATAGAAATTAAATCAGAAACCTAAGAGGCTAATGGATTGCCTCTTTACCTTTATCCCTAATATATCCCCATGGATGTGCTAATCTCATTCCCTTATACCTAGAGCAATGATCCCATGATTCTACGTGCTTCTTGTAGCTCTAACTACTATTTTGCACTCTCTTTAGTGTTTTCCTCTAGGTTCCCTTCTAAAAGCGTTCTTAAGGTTTCAAAAGATGTGTAAGAAAACCTAATCCCCTTATTTTTTTCTAATAAGTCTTTAGGTTGGGCTCAAAGTCCAACCCAATACTCTCTAATTTACAACCTCTTTCATTTTATTAAATAAAATATTTCTTTATATTATAAATGAATTAATCTAAATTATTGTTTATTTATTTTAAAAAGGGGATGTTACATTTATCAAGCTAAGGGGTAATAAGGGTTTTCTCTTTTGGGTGTGGATTATCTATAAGGTAGAGGAGTTAGCCCCAACTCCATTTCTCGTTTGTGTATTTTTGGGGGAAATTATGGATTTGACTTGTAGAATAAGAATTGGTGTTTCGTATGCTTTGTATGAGCCTTATATGTGATGATTAGGTGGTATGTGTAATTAATTTCATGTACGTTGCTTTGATCATGAATTTGTGAGTGTCTATATTTCCTCTAAGAAACCCTTGATTTATAAGGCAAAGTGAATATTGATGTTAATCGTGTGAGTATGTGAAATTGATGTTGGGTTTGACTAATCGATGGTAGAATAAAGTAGTTTTAGGCTTTAATTAATGTTTTTATTGATTAAAGTGAGTGAGAAGTGACAAGCTTGTGCAATTTTCACACATTTTGGAGGAATTTCGAGAACTGGTGTCACATTGGGCACACATTTATGGTGTTGAGCATGATAATTTACACTGATCTTTGTTCCCTAAGCATTATGCGTCAAAGAGGCCTCGTCAGGTGCTATTTGACGATGTTTCTGTGTAGGTTTCTCGTCAAGTGTGGCCTCAACCA